CTCATGGCATTTGCTGCGCGATTAATTACTAATTCTGCATGACACTTCATTGGCCACAAACGACAGCAAACACGGGGTAAAGATCAGTTCAGAACAGGAGCCACTTCGCGCTGCCATACCGCCAAAGGGCTAAATCGCCAACCAAGCCCGCTCCGAGAGCCTTGCGAACGCTCGGAACCGGTCGGATCCTCGAGCCGGTATACGACCGCAGCGCCGCCGCGTACATCCGGGACCTTTCCGTGTCGGCCCCTGATCCCACTATTCCTTTCTAGTATGCGTCGCTTTTTCCACCGCTTGGTGGCGGGTAATTCGACGGGTCATTTCTTGTTTCCGTACTTTATAAACTGCATTTGTTTCTTTATTGATCTAAAATACTCAACAAAAACTACTTTTATAAATAATTGAAAAGTTTCGCGCCACTTATACTTTGTATTTCGACTAAAAAGAAGCTTTTAGCGGCTCTGTCCAGTAGTAAGCCCAGGACCAAAGACGTCACATTTTGCCCGCTTTCGGTACCGCGGGTCGCGCTCGTCGGTGGAGGAGGTTTCCGCGTCGTCCGATTAAAATATGTCGCACTGATATTTAGTTATTCCCTCCGTGCCCTCTGGCTTGCCCGAACCCCAAGAGACATGGAAACCGCAAAAAAGGTGGACGCTTAAATATGATTGCAGGGCCCCTTTAATGCTTTTAACCGTTTTGCTGCGGCTATCATGTTTTTTTAATTATTAATATTATTTTTGTACGGCTTTTTTTGGAGTCCGTAAAGACATAAATGTTGCTTTTATATTTTTCTTGTTCTGCACTCTCGACCGTAGTCTTCATGGCTTGGAGTTCAGCCTCCTTGACGCTGGTGGTATTGCCCAAAGAGGCGGCGACTCTTCTCTGATCGTTTGCGCAATAATGGTCCATAGCTGTGCCTTTGTCCTCCTTCGCTGCGTCCGTGTAAATAATGACGTTAATGTCATCTTCAAGAAGTAATTGTTCCTCGTTTTCGTGTTTCCTGGCAGTGCTATTTCTTCTTATAAATTGTGTTTTTGCTTGATTTTACGGGGTCGATCTTGTATCAATATATCTATCTCGTCTTCCCATGGTGGAGGAGGTTACGTAAAAACTTAGTAGACCTCGTTGTTGTAATCAAGAGCTCTCAGGATCTTTCTCCCTGGTTCAGTTTTTTCAAGCCTCAAGTTTTGACTGATCTTGTTTTCTTGTGCTATTTCTTCGATGGTGTTGAGTCCTCCGATCTCGTAGAGCGCTTCCACCTTGGTGCACCTGGGAAGCCCAGTGATTACTCTCTCTCAAAAATTCCCTGTTGAGTGCTTCGTTCTTTTGGGGTCTCGTTCGTTCTTTTGGGGTCTCGTTCGACTGAGGTAGTTCACCCCGTAAATTGCCTTTGGTACAAGGAAAGCCTTAACCATGGTCCTGAGGATGTCTTCTTTGGCTCCCCACGCTTTGCCGGTAGTGTGCTTGAGCATATTGAGTGCCTGCTTCCACTCACTTTTGATTTGCTGGTACCAGCTTCCCGCCTTTCCGTTTTCGTCAATCGCGATACCGAGTATCCTAATTGAGGTTCGAGATATAATTAGCTGGCCATTGATGAGTAGCTTGATCTTGTCTCTAACGTTTTCATCTCGCCCTCTGGCGTTGAACACGGCGACGTAATTTGTTTTTTCGGGTGAGAGTTGTAACCCCGTCTGTTTGGAGAAGTCCTGAATTGTGTCCAGGGCTTTTGAAGCGTGATGACTTGTGTGGACGTTCTGCAGTTCTTTGTCCAAATAGTAATATCGTCTGCGTAAATGGTTAATTAAGCATAGTTAATATTGACCGGCTCGCCTGCACCCTTACAACTTTGTCTACTTCTTACAAGTTTATTAAAAAAAAGACACATCGCTCAGTTTTGTTTACTAAGGGATGAGCCGCTGATTAAAAATGCGCTTGTTTATTTCGTTACGATGTTTTTCACACTTATACGCACGCGTGTTCACAGTCTGTCACATCAATGGTTGCTATGGCTCTTTCCTCCCTTTAACGCGTGTGCTGCGATAGTTCCAAGCTCTTAGCAATATAGAGCCTCAGATGCTGATCCACCATTAGACCCCAAACAACCAAGCAGCCCAGTCCCGCGTGCTAATAAATCGCTAGAAACTCAATAAAATATTTAATATATAAAAACAAAATACAAGACACCCCACTTTCAACTCTCACCACATGGAGTTTACTCTCAGCAAACCGTAGGTCCCTCCCTGTCCGCGGCATAAAATATTTAAAAGCCCTCCCCGAAAAGAAAAAAAAAGGCTACGTGCCGACGTGCCTGATAAATTCAAAAAGGGGCAGGGTATTTCAGTAAAAAGAAAAACAAAGAAAAAAGCATAACTGGTAAGAGAAATGCGGAGCGCAAGTTTGTCTGCTTCTTGCGCAGGGCTTCCGGTGACGTCAAAATGCCGAGCTCCGATTGGCTCGATTGGAAGGGTAGTTGGTAGACCTCAAGGCACCTAACATTGAGGTCTACGCAGTATCATTTCAATTGAGCCAATCAGAGCTCTGCATTCTGACGTCACCGCAACCCCAACGCAAGAAGCAGAGGAACTTGCGCTGCAGATTGAAACGAAGAAAGATTTGTGGACCTAGAACAAGTATAAAGTGTTGAAGGAGATTTGGGAGTCGTGGTGCCGAGTTTGAGTTCTACACAAAGAACAAACAAACACATTCTATACAAACAACAAACCTCTTTATCTGACAGAGCTACTAACGGCGCACTGTCAGCTGTCAATGAAGCGTTGTTTTTTTTTGTTTTTTTTACCGGTGTACGATGCTCTGATTTTATATTTTGCGACTTCATTAATATACAAAATGGGTGAATACAAATTTCTGAGCAATTAGTAAATATGCCCAATGAACTTCAAGAATATTACAAAACAGAAGACATATTTTTAATAAAGTGACGAATGCAAATTGTGTTAAATTGCCACGTTTGACGCAGAATCCTCTAAGTTAAAAATATTGGTGAGCTTTTCTTTGCATCCGCTCAAAAGCCGGTGAGCTTTTCTCCATATCTGCAGGTTTCGCGGTGAGCTTTTCTCCACATCCGCTCAAAGGCCGGTGAGCTTTTCTCCGCATCTGCCAATTTTGCGGTGAGCCTTTCTCCGGTGAGCTTATCACCGGTGAGCTTTTCTCCGGTGAGCTTTTCTCCGCCGCCCATGATAAAAGAGGCAAACTAGAAAATAAAGAACTAAAAAAACACGGATTTAAAGTTTTTGCGCAGTAGGTGAGGACGCAGATAAGAAAATACCAATTAGAAGCAGAGTAGCGCACACTAGAGCCAATAAATGAGCACTAAATAAGCGTAGCTTATTTAGTGGCACTAGCGCACACCAGCTAGGAGCACGTGGAGCGAAAGCTCGCGCTGCAGAACCCAGGGATCCTGGGTTCAATCTCCACCCCTGCCCGCTTCGATCTGAATGAGCATCGTACCGGCGTGCGGTCGTGTATCACTACTGCGTGTTAAAGACCCCAAGCTAGCGTTGTACTGCTCTGGCTAAATCGCTCATCTACAGCGAGTGACTCGTCGCAACTTTGAAATGGCTGACCAACTACACGCTGTATAAATATGCACACAACCGCAGTTATTAAAGAATCATCGAGAAAAATATGCAATGCGGATATGCAGACTAAATCAACCTTGGGTGTCCCCCCCAAAAATGTACAGAGTTTATTTTTATTTATTTTTTTACCGCAAAAGTAACGTACACATCGCTAACGCTGTTTATCTGCCCGGAGAGCACTAAAGGTCCGAACCAGATGCCAAAGTTTCAGCGCGAACCGATACTTTATCAGAAAGTTATAAATGATTTTCTGAAAATTTCACTGGGAAATTGGTGGCCGACGGACTCTCGAATACATTATGCTCTATGGCACCAGAAACCGAAAACGGGCGAAAATGGGCCCCATTTTCCCACTGAAATTTTCAGAAAATCACTCATAACTTTTGCATAAAATATCGGTTCGTGCTGAAACTTTGGCATCTGGGTCGGAACTGCAGCAACCTTTCGGCGCAGAATGAGCGTTCGGCCATGCAGTTTATTTTTGAGGTAAAAAAAAAACAAAAACAAAAAAACTTGCATTTTTTTAACATTTTGTAGATCATTCAAAATGGATGTTGTTAAAGACAAGAAAGAAAGAAATGTGGTATATATGAGAATTTTAGGGGAGCTCAGTGTTGTTTGAAATCCGTGTGTGTAGCGAACAGAGATGCACAGAGCTGAATATCTAAGTGGAGATGTGGAGAGAAGACAGCTGAGCGGTTCTTTTTGCACGCTCTCGAGAGCTCTTTCCAGAGCGCGCGAAATCGGGGTGGTGGAAAGAGTGTGCTGTGGCCTGATCGGCTGGTTCATTCCGAGGGCGCCTCTCCCTCTCAGAGCGCTCTCCGGCAATCCGTCTGTAGCCGTCGGAGTGCGGAGCGGCGCAGGCGTCACGTGGTACTTGGACGGGGATCACGTGGCTTTGTTGACGATGGCCGACTGTGTGGTCTGAGGTGGTGTGCGGGGTACGGCATGACGGCGATTGATATGTAGTTCTACAGAGTGCTTGTGCATTCGAGGGTGCGAGGATTACAACGGACGGGACATTTGTTAGTATTTGATTAATCTGATCGCTGTGAATAGCTCATCTGTTTTATATTATTGAAATATCATCACGTGTGTATATGCTAACAGTAAACGACCCGTAGTTTTTGTATTGAGAATTGGTGTGTCGGTATTTCGGACGCCTTTAGCGTCTTTGTCCGGCACTTCCATTGGTTGTCAGGGAACGCTGAACCGAGAAGCGTTGTTTACCCCGTAGTAATCGCAAAAACAGAAAACAATAAGCGTCTACCGGCCAAAGAAAGGTACGAATGATTGCAATTGTTGCTTTGAATCATAGAACTATCTGTGGCGAGCTTCCAGCGATGACTCATTGTTTTGACTCCCGCCTTCAGGTAGATATCGAGCAGGGACAAAGCAGCCATGGCCGACAACGATTTGTCGGACTACGAGGACGAAGAGGAGCAGGAGCAGACCGCCGGGGAGCCCATTTCGGAGGTGAAGAAGCCGACTGGGGGCTACGTGTCCATCCACAGCTCCGGTTTCAGGGACTTCTTGCTCAAGCCCGAACTCCTGCGCGACATTGCGGACTGCGGCGTCGAGCACCCTTCCGAAGGTGCGTTTACGGCGCTCGTTGGGCGTCGAACGTAGCCGGTGACATCGCATAACAAAACGATAAATGGCGTTCGATGGATCGAAATTCCGAAGTTATCTATATTTTGATGCTGACACGAACAACTGAAATGTATCGCGGGCGTCTTTTAACTCACGTTCGGCTTCTGCCTCGCGCAGCTGTTTTCAGTGGTCAATTGTGACAAAGCTTCAGGGCTGCTTACGCCACGCCCAGCAGTTCCTTTCCCTGTCAACTTTGGTGTTACTGTTACCAGCGTCATTTCATTGATGAGTGAGGTCTTCTCTGTTATTCATTTTCTTTTTGTGCTTGGAGTGGGGCAGGTGCTCATTCCATTTTGTATATGGTGTTCAGCTCTGTCGAAGCTACCGGTACAACTTTATTTACTGACTCAAGGCTGATTCAGACATTTAATTGACTTCCTGCGTTGCACAGACATTGGTTACCCTAGCAACCTGTAAAATCATCTCGTTTTCACCTGTTGTAGTGCAGTTACTCGTGCTTAATGGCGAGGAGATCAAACTATAGGGAGCACTCTGACCCGTTTCTTGTCCCCACACATCAGAGTTTACCCAACACAAAGCCTGTAAACATTCCCACAGGCCTTGTGGGCGTATTCACGTCTTAACATAAAAATGCTAGCAATAAACGAAGCAACGTTTATTGTTGGTGCCGGATCCCTCTTGAAAGTAGTCAGAGAATGCGAGCTTGAGCCAATTCGTCGGCTTTTGTGCTGAGCTGGGCATGTGCAGTGTGCATGCTGCATTGTTCATGCAGGCCGGAGTGGTAACAAAAGAGTCCCTCTTTCCCCTCAGGTGACACAAGAACACGAACTCCAGCTCAACGCTAATGCGACGTTAGGTTAAGTCAACCGAGCAATGAGTCATTGTTATTTGTTGTCCCCAACTGTGTAGTTCTGAAGTTAGCGGCTTGGGGTGGGCCACGGTCTGGTCTCCTCCCTAGTACCTGGCTTGCATTGACGTCGCAGCAGCCACCATTGCTCCGCACCATGCCCACTGTACCTGTACCTTTTGCAGCATGCATTTGAACCATCAAATTTGTTCTTCTTGGCAAACCTTGCCGAAAAGAAAAAAATGTGATGGTTCGAAATGTATGGCTGCAAAAGGTACGAGCACAGGAGCACGGCATGGTGCCATGACGTCACATGAAAAGCATGTATATATATGCAAATGTCTTACCCATTCTTAGTTTGTATGACAGATTGCACAAATTAAATATTTTGGTGAGGTCACACGCTGGGGCCAGTAGCTTTGACAGCTTGTACGCAATGTGTTAAATAAATTTGTAAATGTCTTGCAGTTATACTCTATTTCACGGTAACAGGGCGGTCTGTGGAAGCTACGGCCCCTGCGACCGAAGTAGAGCGTCGGAGCGAGGAACGTGATACCACGTCGCGGGACACTGCGTATGTTTCACTGCGCTAAATGCGAGGCCTGGAGTAACCGGCTGTCGTCTGCTGTGAAACCAACTTTGGATGAACGTCCACTGACACAACATTGCCATCTGCTAGAGTAGTGCTCTCTGGAACAGTTCATGGGACAACCTTACACTCAATTTACCCGTGAATCTTTGGCGAGTGCTAACACCAGGGCCCAGTGCTCTTTTGAGCAGAAGCAGTCGATTACGCGGCTGCGACTGCCAACGGCCACGGTTCTACAATGGGAAAAAGTTGGGAACGAATATGAATGTGGCATCACTTCTTTTTAGCTCATATATAATTGAAACTCGTAAGTCGTGAATATTTTTTTTTATATTCTTGATAGGGATGGTATGGTGGTTGTTAAAAGAAAAAGAAGCCTAAAATACATTTTTTTCGGTCGGCGCTGTCGGTGTAGCGGTAACGAGGCCACCGTGGTCTCAACCATAGAGTGTTATCACGTGCTTTGCTCCGACAGTGGTATTGGTTCACGGGGGCCGCAGCCTCGACAGTTTTGAAACAGCACGAGAATAAAGTTTTGCAGCTGGTGCTACACATGTTAGTTGACATTTTCTATTGAGTTCAAACGAAATGCAAACAGGATCACGTGGCCGTCGACGCGCGTTGCGCCTCCTGGAGGCCTCTGGAAATTAATAAAACTAGAGTTGTGCTGGGCAAATGCAAATGTGTGACCTGCTTTTAATGTGACACCATGCACTTCACCCCCGTTCGGTGAGGAAACTTTTGCCTGACCTGTGTGGTGTCCCCCCCCCCCCCCCTCCTTGGCTTTGCAGTACAGCATGAGTGCATTCCCCAAGCGATCCTGAGCATGGACATCCTGTGCCAAGCCAAGCCTGATATGGGCAAGACGGCCGTGTTTGTGCTGGCCACTCTGCAGCAGCTGGATCATGTAGCAAAACGGTGTGGGTGGTTCTCACTATCCCGGTAAGAGTGGTAATACTTGGTATTGGTGCAGCATCATAGAAATTAAACGCGCACCTTTTCATTCTCAAAGTTGGGGCTTTTCCCATCAGTAAAATGCTGAATTTATATTGTTGCGCTTCAGCCTTTGCTGAAATATCTAGATTGTGCTATATGGAAAGCACAATCCACTGTCAGTATTAGAAAAAAACATTGTGGTTTAACTTCCTCAGACCTAAACAATACCAACAACCATTTTATTTTTTGTAGTGTGTTTCATTCTACTCAAATTCTCAATGTGTAATTGGGATACTAAAGCTAAGCAGCCCCGAAGTCCTATAATAGATGCAATTCAGTTTTTAAAAGGCACCTGTTTAATTAATTTAGAAAACAATAAACAGTCAACCCAAAATGTGAAGGCAATTTTTTTTTCTATGTAGAGTTTTTGGGGGAAATTGGTCTCTCGTTATTTTGTGACATTCTGCAACACCGTGGCGTCGGTTTTACGGGGGAAAGCGCAAATGAATGGACAAATTGTTTGGGATTGGTGGTTCCGTTAAAAAGGAGTGACATGTCTTCAAACGAGATTTTAATTTACTTGTAGTACTTGTTTGCTGGGGAAGCCTGCTTGGGGCTGTGCATGTGACCAATCGTGATCCAACTGTGGCGAGGCACCACTTGCCACATCTGTTCGTGAATGCTGCGGGAGTCGTAAGCTGAGGTCCTTTCCCGGTCGCAGGTGTCCGTGCTGGTGATGTGCCAGACCCGAGAGCTGGCCTTCCAGATCTTGAAGGAGTACGAGCGGTTCTCCAAGTACCTGCCCTCAGTGCGGGTGGGGGTGTTCTTCGGGGGCATGAACGTCAGTAACGACGAGAAGCCGCTCAAGAGCAGCTGCCCCCACGTGGTAGTGGCCACCCCGGGCAGGGCCCTGGCCCTGGTGCGCTCTCGCAAGCTCCAGCTCAAGCACATCAAGCACTTTGTGCTCGACGAGTGCGAGAAGATGCTCGAGCAGCTCGGTGGGTCTTCCTCGCTCCCCCGCCCGAGCCCTTTTGTTGCTGCTTGGCCGGAGCCACGCCGCCCGAGACGCGTCTCGGACTTGAGTGTTTTTCGTTCTGTTTTGTGCATGCCTCGAAAGTGGTTCCGATGTGCCACAAATGCTGTGGCAGAAGCTGGAGTGTCATTGCTTGATGTCGTGGTCCCGGTGGCCGGGTGTAGAAGTTCTGTAAAAAAGTGGGAGGGAATACGAGCGCTGCTGTCGACGCTGAGTTGCAACCCCTGGCTGCCGACGCTTTTGTTGGACTGTGAAGCTGGAGGTCGACCTGCGGCGGAACAAGCGTCTGCCACATTCACCAGCGCCGCCGTGACTCCGCCAGGATTCACGTCGACCTGCGGCGGTTGTAACGATTGTGCGATCTAGTCAGACGGAAATCAAGGGACCACTTTTTAGGATCTGGTAAACGCCGGTCGGAGGCGTGTTTCGGGCACTGTAATTGGAGCTCGGCATGGCTACAGACCTTTCGCCAAATCACTTGAGCACCAAAGAGAGTTGCTGGAACGTAGGTACATGTGCTGCACACGCTCACATTGCCTGCATAAGAGTTCGGAAGGGAATTTCCAAAATGAGGCTTCGACGAATGGACTTGCAAAGTGTCTTTTGCTTTAGGACAGTTAGTTCTTCGGATGCCAGCAAGTTGAGCGCATTTAACTGCACTCGAGACATGCTCCTCAGTGCTCGGGTATTTCAGTGAAAGGTCCGTCATATGGAGTGCCCCACGACCTCGTTGAACTATGGTCTGTTGTAATGCAGGATATGTAGGAGAAGCTAGCACATGCTTGTTGCCTTTCGTTGTGCTTTGGCTGTGTGTGCTCTGAAGACGCGGAAGCATTATTGAGCGTAGGAAGCTGGTGCTGGAGGTGGAGCTTCTACTGCAATTACGTTGAAGCTGACTAGGATACTGGACAAATTATCTAATTGAGTGCTCACTCCCTTTGACCTTAACTATAAGCGAACGAAACCTGCAAGGGCAAGGGCAATGCTTGCAGTGTACCTGCTATGTAAATGTACTCATGAAGTTGAAACAGTCTTGGGACTGCATGCTCCTGCTTGAAGTATTTACTTTGCTCGCTCCGATGATGGAACAGATGCAGGGCACGATTTGCTGCATCCCTCGCTTTTAAAAATTTGTAGTTGGGCTAGTTGGCGAACATTATGAATCATGGTGTAAGGTGAAAAAAAAACGCATGAAAGAAGGAAGGCGCCTGTACATGCCTTATTTTCGGTGTCTGTCTGTTGCACCTTGCACTGCGACTCCTTTGTGATAGTGGGACAACTAATGTTCCTAAGGAAAGGACTATCTCCTACTGGTTGTGTAAAATTTGCTGGCATCTGTACTTGATTGAGGCTATGCAGGTAACTATTTGCCTCGCGGCAAAGCTGACATTGTGACTGTCGCTCATTTTATTAGCCCAGTTTTAAACAGATCATTTGAAGGGAGCAGCCATGGCTCTTATTATTCTCGTGTGTATGGCAGTATCCTAATATACCTAGTATGTGGCTGTGAGTGAGCAAATCTAGAATTACCCTTGTATGCTTTTCTTTCTCCCCTCCAGAAATGCGTCGAGACGTGCAGGAAATCTTCCGCAACACACCCCAGGAGCAGCAGGTCATGATGTTCAGTGCCACGCTGAGCAAGGATATCCGGCCCGTCTGCTTCAAGTTCATGCAAGACGTAATTACCCCCAACAGCCTTCATCCCTCGCACACCACACCTCCACTTGGCCAGCCGGCTTCGTTGTCCAGGTCTCCTACGTCCGTCCTCCGTGACTGAGGCCTAGCTAGCTGGATAGAGCATTCCGGGAAGGTCAGAAGCATGTGCGCAATGTCAGGGGAAGCTGAATAAGTTTGACATCGGGAGAATCGTTACTCAATGGCCAGGGCCCGCGTGTTAGTAGTCAGGAGCGTCTTACACCGCACGGAATCCATCGAGAGCAAAGGGTTAGTTTCGGCGACGTCAACCAAAGTCGGTTTTGCATTGACCTGCGGAGGGGGCATCGTTGGAAGCAAGTTAGGATGAGTCGGGGCGTCCGTTCAATCTTGCGGTTTCCTCGGGAAAGCATTGTCATCTGGCTTCGTCGTCTTCAAAAGTCTGCGCGTGGGAAGGCGGGGTTAGGGCGTCCATCAGAGCTTGAGGACCCCCCGAGAGAGCTTGTCGGAGGGTGTTGTCATCTGGCCTCTTCGTCTTCGAGAGTCTGCGCGTCCGCCTGCGTGGGAAGAGCCTAGCTAGACCGGATGGATGGGGTCCCCCTTGCGTCTTCAACTCCCAGCTAGGGTAGGTTCCCTCGTCACCCCGGAGGGCCGAGGTTGTCGGGTCACGGTGCCGAGATCGGTGGTGTTGGCACGCCTCGCGTTAAGGACACTTGTGGTGCCGTGCATCTGGACATTGTGCTCTGAAGACCGTCGTCGTATGGCGAGAGCTGCGACGGTTGCTGCTTCGTCGTCTCCGCCGGAGCGGGAAGTTGTGTGTGGGCGTCCGAGCTTGGCCGGTGGCTGCTGCTGCGTGCTCCGGAGCCGGACGGGCGCTGGCTTGGCTCGGCGACGGCTGCGACCCGCCGAGGACGCCGGACCGAGGACTGGTGGTCTTTGGGTGGACGGTATCTGTGGGGGGGCACGGGTGGCATTGTGCTTGTTTTCAGGTTGTTGGGAATGTTGGCTGGGTGGAGGTGAAAGTTCAAAGTTCTGTTGAGAAAAGGGGGGGGGGGGGGGGGGTATGACCTTTGTGTTCTGTTCCGTTTGAGGACGTTATGTTTAGTTTTCTTACGGTAGATTTCTTGATTTAGAGACAGACTAGGGGAGGCTCTAGGGAAAGTGGGAGCTGAAAAAGAAAGTGTAAGCTTTGTAGTTTGTATGGTGTGTCTAGTTACGGGGGCGTTGCTAACTTATAAAAAACAAATAGTATTGATGAACATGGAAACTCACAACGACAACAACTGGATTTCAGTTCACTGTGGGCACTACCCTCGTTGCAGGACCTGTTGTGTGTAGGGATGCATGCCAAGAGACTAGGGGAAGCCGTTGCTATACTTAGCTTCCCAGAGTTTTTTCCCGACGGACCCGCGTTGAGTTGCCCATCTGATGCATTCTCCTTCCAGCCGATGGAAGTGCATGTGGACGACGAGGCGAAGCTGACCCTGCACGGGCTGCAGCAGTACTACGTGAAGCTGAAGGACAGTGAGAAGAACCGCAAGCTCTTTGAGCTGCTCGACCTGCTCGAGTTCAACCAGGTGGTGATCTTTGTGAAGATGGTGCAGCGCTGCATGGCCCTCGCCCAGCTGCTGGTGGAGCAGAACTTCCCCGCCATTGCCATCCCCCGCGCCATGACACAGGAGGAAAGGCCCCGCCACTGTGACACCCGGAGTGTGAGCTGGAACTTTTCCGATTAACCATCTTCATCGCGACATTTAACAGCTTGACACTCTTGCTCCTGTGACCAAATTTGTTGCCACTTGCTGTGAAAGGGTTGTGTGTAGGTGGAGGGTGCATTAGACTTAGGAACAGAAGAAGTGAATGTTGCATTCTACTGGATGGAAACATTGAACTCTGTCTCTGCACAATTGTAAACTTTGGTTCTAATCTTTGATAAATTACAAGTAATAAAATCTTTTCAGAGTTAGGAATTAGAAGTTTAACTACAGTGGATGCCTCGAGCTGTGGGGAGACATATTGGTGAGGAGACGAAACTATGAAGGTGCATTTTCATTATCATCATCACCACAAACAATCGCTGTGTGGCAAACAACTTCGACGGTAGCACTCTCCTAGTGTACGCCACATCATTTCCACGCTCGCTGCATATTTGTTTGTAGCGATATGGTGTGCACTTACTGCATACCGCAGTGCTCAAAGCATGCTTTTGAACCGGGTATATGCGGCGCGGAGGGCACTCGATGACATGATCGCGGTTGAGCATGTCCTCTCCTTCGACGACACACCGCTTGCTTTTGCCAATGTCGTCCATGATTGTCGCGAGAGACAAAGTAACTAATAAGTGGAAATGCATGTTTCGTGAATCATTGAGAAAAACGCGAACGCTGTCCCAGCACTCCCGCGCGTGACCACGCATGCGCTTGTTTTGCCTGCCAAAAGGACTTTGATGACATTGAATGCAAGAGGGGGCTAGATTACTTCTATATAAACACGTTTAGAAGAAAATAATAGTGTTACATATCTTCCACGAGCCTTTCGTTGCCGTCTTCTATGGTGTCGAATGAATTAATGACTGCGGTTGGATGGTTTGCTTGCCATACAGCGTTAGTTCCCGAGGCGGATGCTGGGGAGTGCCACTCCTCAATCTCTTCCACAATAATCTCGTGTTAGGCTGCGTGGCATGGCTTGTGTCGACTTGGTGTTGGCAATTTTTCACCTGTCGCTCTTAAGTGTCCATGTTTCGTCGCCCAAATCGTTGGTCCAGCATCGATATGTTTCGCTGCTTTAATAGTTTGATAGCAGAAAGAAGAATGGTGGTGGTTGTAGTGGGTGTTTGTGAGAAATCCGAACCCGGCTTTTCTCACCGCAAAATTAAAGTAGATATCGCGGAGAGCTCAAACTTCGTCAGAACGTAGCCCCAGTCGTTCGAGCAAGATGCCAAAGTTTCAGCACCAACCGTTATCATATTCAAAAGTTTTAAGTGATTTTTTGAAGTTTTCAATGGGAAAATGGGGCCCACTTTTGCCGGTTTTCGGTTTCTGGCGTCATAAAGCTCCTTGTATTCAAGAGCTCGGTCTGCCGCCATTTTTCCGTTCAAATTTTCAGAAAATTGCTTAAAACTTTTGAATAAGATAACGGTTGGTGCTGAAACTTTGACATCTTGTTCAAACAGCTGGGGCTACGTTCTGACAGGGTTTGAGCTCTCCTCAATGCCTAGTTCATATTTGAGGCTCGAAAAGCTGTGTTCGGATTTCTCACAAACACCCGGTATATTCATGGTGTGTCATTTTGTGCACCTTGATGGGTTAAAGGGAAACCTGAGTCTTCTCTGTTACCTGCAAAGACTGTGATCTCATCCCTTGAAGTTTGTACACGTCCAGTTGTTGTCCAACGAAAAATTAGTTGATCAGCTGCATTCCTTGCCAAAGATTTTCAGTGGAAAGCATTCCTTTTCTGGATTCTATTCTACCTACATTCCTTACCCTGCAGCATTATCCTTGTGAGGTGTACTCAAGTCAGGGATGGGCAGTATTTCTAATACAAATATTTCAAATACGTATTTCAAATACTTTGTGTATTTTGCATTTGTATTTAATTACAAGTTGGGTAATGTATCTGACGCGTGTATTTAAGTACTAAAATATGGGTATTTCAAATGCAATTGTAATTAAATACAAGTTTGTGGGCAAAAATGCATCCCTCATATTTATTGTCACTGTCCAGAGCAGGAAGACTAGAGCAGGAAAAAAACTACGTACCGCACCGAATGCAGTGTCTCTCAATCAAGCACAAGCGTTTAGTGACTTTGTGATTACGGTGTTAGTCCAGGGCAAGAATAGTGACGAAATCGACGTTCACAGGCAGACTGGATAAATAAGTGCCTGTGACTACTTCTGGTGCTTTCCAGCCTGATTTCCATCCATATTTTTGCCTGGAACGTTCTAAATGCGGAGGTCGTCCAGATTTTCGTAACTGGTGCGCGTTGCAACAATAAAAAATTCTCTAGCTAGTGCTGCGCGTCTTGGTCGTCTCGGTTCTTTGCTGGTCTATTACCAGTGTTGCGGAATGGGCACCCCCATTTCATTCCAATTCCATACCGGCGAATTAGAGTTTTCGACAATTCAATTACTTTCAACTCCTAGGAATGGAGACACTGGGCCCATTCCCACTCCTGGAATGGCTGAATCGTTCCATTCCATTCCTCTAAGTCCTAAACGTGAGAATTGGCACTTTACAGCTGCATTGTGTTGCCGGTATAAGCAGCATAAAGCTGACATAATCAAATGCAAAAACAATTGCAAAAAAAAAAAAATCTAAATTCCTTAAAAAAAGCACTGATTTTACTAAGCGGGCCGCTGGTGGCACAAAGTGTTTATTTACAATGAGCTGCAAGCATCGAGAAAACCCCTTGATATGTCGATGCTTGTTGAAGACACCGGTCTCGCGACCACTAGGCTGGCAACAGCAAAACTTAAAACCACTCATTTTCTTTTCTTTTTTTTACTTTTTTGCATTTGACTTTTAGGACATACGCGGCCAGCGTGTTTGTTTGATAAGACTATAAAAATATACTGTTCGTGCATGGCGCAGGAATAAGCTATATTACTGTATTCTTCAAATACTGCAACACGGTTAGTACACTGTTGAAAGCGACTCCAACACAGCGGCAAGAACACATCCACCGACAAAATGCAACCTGTGCGGCTAAGCACGACGAACCGTATTGTAGTGGTGTAAAACTACCGAAAGTACTATCGATAGTATCGATAGTCGCCAGAAATCTGACTATCGATAGTAAAACAACTATCGATAGTTCTATCGATAGTCGACTATCGAAAAACTATCGATAGCCCTATCAATAGTCGGCCACCAAAGAACTATCGATACTCAACTATCAAAAAACTCTCGATAGCACTATCGATAGTCCGTTATCGAAAAACTATCGATAGTCGACTATCAAAAAACTCTCAATAGCACTATTGATAGTCGGCTACCGAAAAACTATCGATAGTCCGCTATTAAAAAAACTATCAATAGTACTATCGATAGTTGACTATCGAAAAACTATTGATAGTTGACTATTGATAGTTCTTCGACGCTATTGATAGTTTCGGAAAAACTATCGATAGTTTTGCATCACTACCATATACGTAACGAAACCTGTTTTTAAACGGATAAGTTCACGCTTGCTTTACGAATCTCGATATTTCTTATCACATCCAATTCAATTTTTGGGTGGTTCGCCTGCCCTTTTCTAGCCTTTGCATACTCATTCTCGTGTTTCCTCCTCAGATGGCGAATAAAGTTCGATGATATACGCCGACTGCAGCGTGTATAGTTTCGTTGCACAACTATCAGCGCGCAGCTTGTTTATTTTCTTCGCGACTAATGTCGAAAAATGTCTTCCACGATGCCCAGACTCGATCCGTCCTCTTCGCGCTGATCGAGAGGCGGGTTCAAGCAGCAGGCGGTACCAACCAATTCATTCTTCTACCTCGGTGTCGGTTGCTCGCGTTGTGACGTGTGGGAACCCTCTCCCTGGCTCCCCCGCGCTCCGTGACCTTCCCGGTCCCCGCCGCCGTACCGTCGGGCGCTCCTTCGTTCCCCGTGACCTTCCCGTTTTCCGTCGCCGTCCTGTCGCGGAACGTCCGAGCTCTCCGGGAGGAACGGGGCAAGCGCCCCCTCACCCAGCGCTGACGTCGGAGGGTCGGCTCGCGGCAAGGTTCCCGATTGCACGGTCGGCGGGACAAGGACTTGGAAAGGTCTTAAAAGGGGAACGGAGACAAAGGAAGGGGTCTTGGGCTGCCGACTTCGAAAGGGACCGGTCAGGGAGGTCATTGGGACGACAGCGACGAGCGGCTCTTCAACGACGTGAGTTTGAGTAAACTCTTTTGAACACGCACTGTGTGGGTGACTTCTTGGGGAGCGAGCGAGGCACGTCCCGATCGGGCGTCGATAGTGACCCACATAATCTGGCGCCCACGTGGGAGCCCGATCGGTTGGCCGTTGCTTTCGCTCCTCCCTGAGAGGTCGCGCACTTTGCGTTTTCGCGGATTTTGGAGGTTAGCGTGCTCGAATTTTGCGAATTGTGTTCGAGTTTGTAGAAAGTGACAATGGTCGACACCAGGTCGACCACCGGCGCGAGTAAGGACGGTTCGTCGGAGGACGAGTCTGGGCGAGATAGCGGGGGGGCTGCTCCGATTAGCGGAGACTCGGGCTCACGCGCGCCCCCGGAGACTGGGACTTCGCCCCCACCTTCACCAGCGACGGAAGGCGTGCTAGACGCCGGTGAACTGATGCGCGCAATGACGCGGATGATGGACGCGATGTCACGCCAGATGGGGACAGCCCCAAGCGTCGCGAGTGCCGCGCCTTTGCCGATACCCCGCCCGCGGTTGAGCGTGCCTACGCCGACGTACTCGGGGTACTCCAACGGGAAATCGGTGCACGATTTCCTGCAGGATTTAGACGCGTACGTAACCGCTTTGGGGGCATCGGACGCAACAGCCCTGCTGCAGATCGTGCCGATTGCACTGACGGGCGACGCCGCGCGTTGGAGACGGCTGCAAACGCCGTTCCAATCAATGGCGGACTTCCGGGCGCGGTTTCGGGAGGAATTCCTTCCTCCCGACTACGAGATGCGGATTCGCGACGAGCTGGCGAGCCGCACTCAGCACCCGGATGAGAGCCTCGTGGAGTACGTCCGTGCGCTCCAGGAGCTCTACTCGCGGGCCGA